CCTCCCCACCACCACCACCACCACCACCACCACCACCACCACCACCACCACCACCACCGCACAGCTATGACAGACCCAGCGGCACCACGCCTTCGCAAGGTCTTCAAGCCTCTTGACCAATACTCGCGGGTCAAGCTCTCGGCTGTCCGGCTCCACCGTCATGAACGGCTCCTCACTCAGGGCCCGGACGCGCCGCTACCTCCACCACTACCAGAACTCGCACCACAGGCAGAAGCAGAGGGCGGAACTGAGAGTCATCGGTCTTCACGACTTGCTCCTTCTCTTCGTCCGCATCCGCCTTCGCCTCGGCCGCGGCAGCACACTCGCCCGCGGAAGACTGACCTTGGCCTCGCACCCAAGCCGTTTCCCAACAATCGCGGTCTGCAGCAGCCGCATCCTCCGCCTGCACCGGCCCCGGCACCGGCGCCGTCTTCTGATCCGAGGTACAATGCCTTGCTTGAGCCACTAGCTTCTCACACGCTCCCGCATGTTCCGCGAGATGCCGCCTTTAACTCGGTCCCTCTCCCGATGGGCGTGCCCCCGCCGCTGCGGCTCTCGGCTGCCCGCGCTCGGGCCCGCGCTGGCCGCACCACCATTGCACCACTGCTCAACGCGCCGGTATCGGTCGGTACCTCTCGTGGCTCACGGGCCACCTCGCGCTCGCTCGGCTCCCGCGCCATTCTCACCCCGATCGACCCGCCGCCGACCGCCTCGGCCGCCCTCGACGACTTTCCCACCTTTCTCCCGCTCGACTCGTTCGATGCCATCGATGCTGCCTCACGCCCGCCGTCGGAGCGGACTGCCCGTGCCGAGCGGCCGGACGTTCCGCCGGCGTCGTTTGAAAACTACTCCAACGTGGCTGCCGTCTCCAAGTTCTTCCGCCACGACGGCTCGTTCGAATGGATGCCGGTCCGCGTTCTTGGCTTTGACCCCGACAAGAATCTGTACCTCGTCGAGTTTGTCCACACCAACTCGTCCAAGTATGTCTCGCGCTTCAACCTCGTCTTTGACGGCGAAGACACCGGGCTCCTCGATGATCGTCGCCGCGAGGCCCTCGCTCTCCGCGACGAGCAGGAACACTGGCTTCGCCTGCTGTACTACGTCAACGACATGCCGTCGCCGCCATCGCTCTCGATGCCGCGCACCCAGCTCGAGAGAATCCTCACCCTCGCTGCCGTGCCGCCCTCCCACCCGTCGTTCGCCGACCTCGTCCTTGACATGCAGGCCAACCACGCTCGCGGCCAGAAGCTCGCTGCCGTCAAGTCACGTTTTGGTGCCGACCCGGAGCTTGCAGCCCAGTACTCGGCGCTCAACTTTGCGCTCCTCGACACTCGTCGGCCTGTCCCGCACCACGCCATGGTCCAGCTCCCGCTCGGCTCACCAGGCACCCGCTCGCTTGTCCGTCATTTTGACGCTTTCCTCGTCCGTGCGCTGAGCCCGGCCGTCGCAGCGCTCAACGCTATCCGGGCAGAGTGTCTCGCGGTCGAAGAGCTTGTACTGTTCAACACGAACGTTGCCTCGTCGCCGTCGGTCGCCGCCTCGGGCCTCGCCCCGGGCGCCGTCCTCGAACTCGCCGCCTTTCGGACCGAGCAGCGCGCCGTCTCGGTCTCCACCATCAAGCATTTGCGCGCCACCTGGCGTGAGCGAGTCAAGCACCAGTTTGAGCTCAACTTGCCGGTCATCATCCAGACCGCCGCCCTCGACACCTCGCTGGCTGGCCGGCCTGCCGTCCGCATGCGTGACATCCTCCTCCGCATCACCGCCCTTCTCATGGAGTCTGCCGTCCGCGGTCTTATCACCTCGGCCATTTCCTCACTCGACGCCTTTTTCGCGCCCTACGCGGACGTGCCCGACTTTGAGCCTGCCGCGTTGCCCAATGCCGCCACCTCGGATGACCTCGACTGGTCTGCCCTCCTCCACGGTGCTCCGCCGTTTGCGCCGGACCTCGACTCACTGCCAAGCTCAACGCCGCTTCTCCGCATTGCCCGCTGCCTCCCGGAACCGCTGTTTGTCACCACCCTTGTCCTCACTGGCTTCCACGCTCATCCGTCCAAAGCCAACGAGTCTGACCCGCTTTGGGACGCCCAACACGACCTCATCTACCGTGATTCATACCTCGCCACCGTCGCAGCTGCCGGCGAGTCTTCTCTCTCCATGGCGCTCTCATCGTCGACCATCGCTGCCGACCTGTTCCTAGTTGGCGAGCAGGATTTGGATCACGGCTCGATTGAGGACCTGCACATCGCCGTGCCTGAGCAGCTCGCCGAGATCGAGTCTACCACCCCGGCTGACGAGCTTGCCGCCCGCGCCGCCCGCGCCCGCGCCGCACACAAGGACTCACTTGTCCGCGACACCGTCGGCCTCGCTCTCGACCCGCCGCTCTCGGCCTTTGAGACCATGCTCACCTCAGTCATGGACGACATTCTTGCTGCCGCCGACAAGGTGCCGCTCATCGACTCGGAAGTGACCGGCAACCCGGCCCTGTTCTCAAAGTACCTGGCCTCGGTTGATCCGACCTCGCCGGACATTGCTCCGGTCCTCACCGGCGTCATGGCGAATCTCCGCGCCAACTTTGCACTTCCGCGCGAGCTCCTTGCTCGCCTCACACCGTACACCGCGTACATCCGCCTTTACACCCAGCGCGCTGCCTTTGAAGCTGCCATCATCGACATGGCTCCGTCACTCGACCAGTACGCTGCACTAGTTCGGGCCCAACGTGACCGCGCCGCCGCCGTTCGCGCAGACCTTCCTGACCTCCTTGCCTTTGGCCTCTTCGAGATCAACCTCAAGCCGGCAAAGACCGTGCTGGCCGCCATGGCCGAGTCGCTCGCCCGCCTTGTTCTGCGCCTCCTGCACGCTGAGGCCCGCGACGACGCCTCTCTCGTCCGCGCCTCGTTCAAGGACCTCAACGCCAAGCTCCACGCCCCGACCGAGACGCCCGAGGACTGGAAAGCTATGAAACATGTCATGGCCAACCTCGATGACACCGTCGCCGGCCACGTCTCCCGCATCCGTGCCATGCTCGCCAAATACGACACCCTCGAGTCGTTTGGCTTCCGTATCGACGACTCGGAGGCGTACCTCAAGTGGGATGCCGTCCGCTGGCCGCGCCGCATCTCGGAACAAGTCATCCACACTCAGAACGCGCTTGCAGACGCCGAGCGCATCTTTCAGCAGGAGCTCGCCGACAAGCAAAAGGCCTTTGCCCTGCAAGCCATCAAGCTCGAAGACTCGCTCCGCGAGGCTGAGGGCTACGGCGACCTTGACCGTGCCCCGCTCTATCTCTCGGCGCTCCGCACTCTCAAGCGCAACGTCGACGACGCCGTCGACATTGCCGCTACCTTTAATGACCACGAGTCTATTTTCGGCCACTCGCTGACCTCGTACGCCCATCTTGTCGAACTGGCCGCCGCCGTTGCGCCCTTCCTCCGCCTCTGGGACATCGCTGCTACCTGGGACGACACCCGCGCTGCCTGGCTCGAGGACGAGTTTGTTTCACTCTCGGCAGATGCTATGCAGAACCAGCTCGATGCCTGGCTTGACGACCTTACCTCACTCGGGGAGGCCTTTATCCGCCTCGCTGTCCCACGCGCCGCCGTTCGCACCCTCCGTGCCCAGATCACCGCCTTTGCTGCCCACATGCCTGTCATCTCGGCCCTCCTGGCCATTGCCCACCTTGCGCCGCAGCTGCGCAACAAGCACTGGGCCGCCGTGACCAGGGCCACCGGCCAGGACTTTGTTCTCAAGCAGGACACTGATCTCGCCTACATTCTCGCCAACTACTCGTTTGCGCACTGCATGCCCGAGCTCGAGGCCGTCGCCCGCGCTGCTCGTGCCGAGCGTCGCATCGACGACACGCTTCGCGCACTCTGGCAGGAGCGGTACAACTTTAAGTTTGACGTTCTTCCCCATCGCGAGACTCACTCGTACGTGCTGGATCCGGTCGCCGTCGAAGACATTGCCCAGCGCAACGAGGAGCACATTCTCAAGGTCGAGGCCCTCCGCTCCTCGCCACACATTGCCGAGTTCTCCAAGCGGCTTGCTGAGCTCAAGGCCGAGTTTGACAAGTTCTCCCGCCTCCTCGACGGCTGGCTCACCCTTCAGCGTCACTGGACTTACCTCCAGCCGGTCTTTGCATCCGACATCTCGCACCAACTCCGCGACGAGGCTCGCGAGTTTGAGCGCGTCGACAAGTTCTGGCGCCGCGTCATGGACGCAATCCACGACTCGTCGTCGTACTCGTCCATCTCCACCCGCAACTACCACGAGTCGTTCGAGAAGATGAACACCACCATGGAGCGGGTCAAGGCCTCGCTCACTGGCTACCTCAACGTCAAGCGCTCCACCTTTCCGCGCTTCTTCTTCCTCTGCGACGGTGAGCTCCTCGAGCTGCTTGCGCTCTCGGCTCCATCCGCGCTCATTCCCTCGCTTCCAAAGCTCTTTTCTGGTCTCCACCACTTTGCCACCTCGCCGATCTCGCCGAGTATCACTCACATGGCATCGTCATCTTCAGCCCCGCTCATCGAGCTCCATGCCCCGGTCCCACTCGTCAACGCCCAGCTCGAGGCCTGGCTCGCCGCCCTCACCCGCGGCATGGTCTCCACCCTCTCTCACATCGCCGTCTCCGCCCTCGCCTCCTACCCGGGTCCCGACAACGCCGCCGCACTCCTTGCATGGGCCGCACCGCTCCCACCCCAGCTGGTCATCCTGGTGGAGCGCATCGCCTTTGCCACTACTGTCGAAGCCGTCGCTGAGCCGCTGCTCCCGCTCTCTGCTGCTCGCGAGTCTGCGCTCATCGACGTCATTGCCAATGCGCTTCGGGCGCCGCCCTCGTCCGGATCCGCCGATGCTTTGCAGCCGCCGCGCTCCACCCTCGAGGTCATGCTTCTCCTGCACACCTACTTTCGTGCCGTGTACTGCGAGCTCCTTGTGCCGGCCAACCCACTCTCGCCGGCCAAGCCAGCCACGCCCTGCACCCCGCGGACGCCATCGTCACAGCCGGCCTCGCCACCGCTCTCGGCTTCCAGCTCCTCGTCCAATCTTGCTGCTCTCTCCGCCTCGCAGCAAGTAGGGTCGGCCGCAAGCTTCCTCGCCACTGCAGAGCCGGACGTCCGCGCCGCCTATGCCGGTCACCTCCGGTTCTATGCCGACACCACCGACACCACCGGCCGTCTCGCCGTTTCTGCCCGCCAGTACGATGCCGAGCTAAGTTACGACTTTGAGCTTGTTCCGCCGCATGCCCCGCTCGCCATCACCCCGCCCGAACGCGGTGCGGTTGCGGCGGCCACCTCGGCACTGGTCGCATCGCGCCTCGTCGCCATCACCGGCGAGCACTCGACCGGCAAGACCCGGACCGCCCTCGCCCTCGCCCCGAATCTTGGTCGCTACCACGTCGTCTACTCGGGCTCGCCCTGCATGCACTACGTCACACTCACCAATTTGTTCAAGGGCGCCGCCGCCGCCGGCGCGCTCCTCGTCATCAACGATGTCGACCGCCTCACCACAGGCATGATGGCGGTGGCAGCCCAGCTGCTCGGTCGCCTCCTCCGTGCCCGCGCTGCTGGTAAGGCCGCCATTGCCTTTGAAGGCTCTGATGCGCTTCCGCTTGCTCCCTCCATGGGTGTGGTCCTCACCGCTGCGCTGCTCTCCTTCTCGCCACCGTTCCATTCGACCGTCGTTCACAAACCTCGCCTGCCGGGTGCAGCGCCGGGCGATCGCCAGTGGTCTTCGCTCTCGGCCTCGCCGCTGGAGTCTCTGGTCGCCTTTGAGTCGGCTCAATCGTTTGCCTCGTCACCAATGCTGGCTGCTGACGCCGCAAACGCCGCCGAAGCCGGTGATGCCGCCGCGGCCGTCCCAGCGCCGCCGGCTGTGGCTCCGGGCATCTCCTCGCTCAACGTTGCGCTGTACTCAGCCTCGCATCTCTCGCCGTTGCCGCCGGCGCTCAAGGCAGCCTCGCGGACCATCGCCCTAGCTGCTCCGTCGCTCCACGCTATTGCTTCCGCGAATCTCGCATGTGCCGGCCTTGTCCACGCCGCCACGCTGGCGACCAAGCTTGCCGCCCTCGCCGAGCTCGTCCCCGCTATTTGCGCCCGCTCCGTTCTCCGCGTCTGTCGCCTTGCCACCGCGATGTGGCGCTCGGTCGAGAGCGCTTCCCTTCTTCCGCCGCAGGCCTACACCCACGAAGCTACCATTGTCGTTGCCGCCGTCCGCATGTGGATGGCGCCCCGCCTCGACAAAGCCGACATGCAGAGCTTTGAGGATGCCCTCGCAGCCGCCTTTCCGCGCGGCTGTGAAGCAAGCCCACATCCTGGCCTTGCCGTCCCGCGCCATGTACCGCTGCTGGATGCCACGGCCGCTGCCGCACATGCCAAAGACCTTGGCCTCGAGGCCACGCCTCAGCTCCTTGCGTGTGCCACTGCGCTCTGCGACGCCGCGGCTCTTGCGCGCGGCGTCATGCTTGTCGGCTCGCCGGCGTCGGGCAAGTCTGCCGCACTTGCGCTCTTCCGCGCACACCTTGCCGCTGTTGGCGGCTGGCGGGTGGCGGCGGTCTACCCAGCCTCGCTCACCTACGGTCAGCTGTACGGCTCGATTAACCCGTCGACGGGCGTTTGGGTCGACGGCCTTGTTGCACACCTTGTCCGCGCTGCCGCAGCCGCATCTGCAGCCTCTGGTGCCCGCACTCTGATTGTCTTCGATGGCCCGCTCTCGGCCCACTGGGTCCGTCCGCTCTTCGACCTTCTCGGCGCTCACCCTGTCCTCTGCCTCGACTCGGGCGAGCGCGTGCTCTCAACCCCGGACTTGCATTTGGTGTTTGAGACCGAGTCGCTCGACCTCGCGCCGCCGTCGCTCGTCGCGCAGTCGGCTATTGTTCGCACTCCGGGCCCGCTCTCGTGGCGGCTGCTGGTCGCCCCCGCGCTGGCGCGCTTTGAGCGCGAGTACGGGCCCCAGATGGGTGTTCAGCAACTTGATGTCGCTGCCACCCTTACTCGCCTCCTCGTCGACTCGACACTCGTGGCGAAGGCGGTCTCAGTCCGGTGCTCGCTCTCGCCCCAGGAAGACGGCCCAGAGGGGCCTTCACCGCAGTGGCCTCCTTCCTCGCGCTGCTCGGCTCCGAGCTGGCATCGTACCGCGGCGTCGATCTCTCGTCGTCGCCTGAGTTTGGCCGCCTTCACCCTCTCCCGTCATCAGAGACTGCTCTCGCGGCACGACTCGAGGCGCTGGTTCTCTTTGCCGCCGTCAACACACTTGGTGCGCTCCCGGTCAGCTCGGCACGGACCGGGTGGATTTCTTGGCTCGGTGGCGCACTCTCCAGCTTTGGCATCGAGCTCGACGCACTCGGCGTCGAGACCGTGGCACAACTTGCCGACGTCGTGCCGAATCCGAATGCAACGGCAGAGCCGCACCTGGTCTCGTGGGCCGACTACGCCGCCGGCCGCGGCCTGTTTGTCACCATGCCGGTCGTGGGCACTCCTATTCGTGCCCACCGCGGCTTTGCTGCCTCGACCGTCCGTGTCCAGTACCTGACCTCCAAGCTCCTCAACGCCGGACACCATGTGGCGCTCTGTGGTCCATCGGGTGCGGGCAAGACGCGCCTCATGCTGGACATTTTCTTCCGCAACGAATGGCTCGCCCCAACGTGGCCGGCCACGTTGTCCCGGGCACCGCCCACATGCAGGCGTCGGGCTTTCAGCTCGCGCTCGACCGGGTCCTCACACGCAAGCGAAAGAACGTCTGGGGCCCGATTGCCCACGGCCAGACCCGCGCCATCCTCGCCGACGACTTTGAGTTCCGCATGGAAGAGGGTGCGCTTGGCGAGCTGCTCCGCCAGTGGCACGACACAGGCGGCTGGCACGACGCCACCAAGCCGACAACCTTTCGCTTTGTCGAGTCGATTCAGTTTGTGTTGGCCTCCCTCGACGCCGACGCCGACCCGCTGCCGCCGCGGCTGGCCCATCGGTTTGTCACGCTTGCCGTTGAACCACCGTCGCACGACGAGCTCGTTGTTGCGCTCGCGCCCGCCGTTGCTGTTCACCTCCATACCGCCCACAAGCTCTCATCGCTCGACCTTAGGTCGCTCTCGAAGCCTCTTGTCGGTGGAACGCTCGCGCTGTACCACGACCTTGCGCTGGCGCTTCCCGCCTCGCACGCGCGGCCGCACTACGCCTTCAACATTCGACATGTCGTCAAGGTACTTGACGGCCTTGTCCTTGCAGTCCGCGGCGGTCTCGAGTCTGTGGAAGACGTGCTCGAGGCGTGGCACCACGAGCTCCGACGGGTCTTTGCTGACGGCCTCGTCGAGCTTGAGCACCGGACATGGGTCGCTCGCTGGATCGCCACCCACGGCCCACAGCTCTTTGCAGGCATTGCCGATGCCCAAGTGCTAGCCGAGCTCTTTGCATCGCCGCCGCGGCTGTTCAACACCCTCATGCCAAGCGTCGCCAAGGACCACCCGTACGCGCCGGTGGCTTCGGGTGACAGTCTTCTCGACGTGGTCGACAATTTTGTGACCGAGCTCAATGCGTCGACACAGACCCCGCTCAAGCGGGCCTTCCTCATGGACGCTGTGTCGCACATCTCTCGCCTCAACCGCGTCTTTTCGCTCCAGCGCTCGCACGCGGTCCTTGTCGGCGCAACAGCAGCGCAGCGGACAAGCCTCGCTCGGCTCGCCGCTGTCCTCTCGCACGTCGCCCAGCGTGCCATCCTCGAGCTCTCGGCCACGCTCCACTCCGACGAGGTCGAGTGGCGCAAGCTCCTCTCGTCTGCGCTGCTTCGGGCCGGTGGCCTCGGCCTTGCCACGGTGCTCATTGTCGATGAGACCCAGCTTGCTGCCGAGTGCGTCCTCGCCGACTTGGCCATTGTCATCAACTCGGGTCACGTTCCCATCACCCTCTTTACCGAGGAGCAGCAGCAAGCCGTTGCGCGCCACATCCGCAACACTCATCCGGGCATGGTCGAAGGCGCCGCCATCTACGTCCAGTTCCTCCGCAACATCAAGACCCATCTGCACCTGGTGTTTGGCTTTGACGCCGCCTCGCCCACCATGCACTTTGTCACCCGCCACTACCCGGCACTGCTCAACTGCTGCACCCTCGACTGGTTTGACACCGTGCCCGACGACGACCTGCGGCTGGCCGCGCACCAGGTTCTTCACAACGTGCCTGGTGCACTGCTGAGCTCGAGCATGCTTGAGAGCGTCGGTGACCTGCTTGTCGACCTGCACAAGGTGGCCGTGCACGTGACGGGCGCCTTTGCGCTCGCCACCGCGCTGCCGACCCCGGTCTCGCCCGCAAGCTTCACCGAGTTTCTCTCCGAGGTTGTGGAGGTCATCAAGCACCGCTCGCAAGAGTACTCGGAGCGGGCACAGGTGCTCACCGCGGCGCTGCTACAGGTCGACAGCGCCAACGCGGCGGCGGCCCAGCTCAAGATCGAACTCGTTGGCCTATACCAGACCATCACCGAACGTGAGGCTACCATTGCGGCGCTCGAGGAGGAGCTGTCGGACGACCACGCTTCGATTCGGCACTTTGAGGACGAGCTGGCTGTTCTCAGCCAGGCCATTGACGCCAAGAACGCGACTGCGAGTGAGCTCGAGTCGGTACTGCAAGTCTCAGAGGAGACGGTGCTGCCCAACATGGTGCGCGCCAAGAAGCGGCTGAAGCAGCTACAGCGACGGACCCAGCTGAGCCTGGCGTCCAAAACCAAGCCGTCGCTGGCCCTGCGGCTGGTGATGAAGGCCATCTGCATCATCCGCGAAATCACACCACGCTACGTCATGGTGCCCGGAACCGGCGCCGATGGCGCGCCGATCCGCGAGGAGACGTACTGGCCTGAGGCCAAGATCTTGCTCGCCGACGGCAAGTTTGTACGCAACCTTCTGTTCGTTGACCCGATGCAGCTGACCGACGAGTCTGTGGCCAAGCTTGCTGACGTGCTCGCGCACGAGAGCTTCCAGGGCAAGGCGGTGGTCAAGCTCCGGCGGCCGGTCCGTCTACTGTACGACTACGTGCACGCGGCGTACCAGCTGAGAGTCACGCTCACCTCGCTCAAGCCGCAGCAGGAGGAGCTTCGCATTCTGCGGATTGAGATTGAGGGCCTCCTCGTCGAGCGGGCCGGGCTCACCGCCGAACTCCACGCGCTGTCGGCCAAGATTGCGTCGCGCGACGCCGAGCTTGTGTCGGCGCGCAACGAGCTCGTAGCGGCGCGGGCGACCAAGGATGCTCATGTGGCGCGGGTCCAGCACGCGCAAAAGCTCGAGTCGATGCTCGAAGACAACGTGGCAACCTGGGGTGAGCGGCTCAGCGAGCTGCGGAAGCGGCTCGAGGCGCTGCTGGGTGACGCACTAGTGGCGGCGACCTTCCTAGTCTATGGCGGCCCGCTCTCGGTCGAAGCGCGAAACAGCCTGGCAAGCAAGGCAATCCAGGCTGCGGTTGCTGCGGGCTTGCGCCCGTCGCAGACCGAGGAAACCTTTGACCTCGGTGAGCTGCTGATGGGCAAGGCTGAGCGGCTTGGATGGGCGGCGCTCGGCCTTGATGCCCGCGACCGGTTTGCGGCTCAGAACGCAGTCATCATGTTTGTCAACAACCAGCGATGGCCGCTGCTCATTGACCCGTCGGGCAACGGCGTACGCTGGGTCCGCTCCCTCGAGGGCGAGCCTCTCCGCGAAATCCGGGCTGGCTCGGACAATGTGATGGCGGCGGTGAGCCGCGCTGTCCGCGACGGCGTGCCAGTCCTCCTCCACGGCATCCTCTCCGACGCCGACCTGCCGCCTGCGCTCGGCCCGCTGCTCTCCAAGCTTTACTTTACCGACAACGATGGGCTCGGCGTGCGGATTGGTGATGTGGTGGTCAACGTTCGCGAGGGCTTCCACCTCTACCTAGCGACGCCACTGGAAGACGCATCGTGTCTCACGCTGGTGACATCGGGCATTGTCGGCTGTATCTCGTACCGGCACGCACCGACGACAGTGAGCCTTGCGCTAGGTCAGGCCATTGCCGACGCCACTGCGCCGAGCCTCCGTGTGGAGGACAAGCGCGACGCGGTCATTACGGCCGAGCTTGCGCTGCTGGAGGCGGATGGGCACTTGCTCACGATGCTGACAGAGTCCGCGATAGACGCGCTGGTGGGCAGCGACGCGCTGCTGGACGAGCTCGGGCGGGCCAAGTCACAGCTACTGCTGGCAGAGAACGTGCTCGCCAAGCGGCGCGAGGCGCTCGGCGAGGCGCGGCGGGCGTTTGACGACGTGCTCGGGCCAGTGGTAGAGACTGCAGTCTCGATGTACGGTGCCATGTCTGACTTGCATAGCGTCAACCCGGTGTATCGGTTCTCGTTTGGCTGGTTCCAGGCCGCGCTGGTGGCGCAGCTGGCTCGACAGCTGGGCGAGGTGGTCGCTGCTGGAACAAGCGGCAGTGCCTCTATGCCGCACACGGCGTCAGAGGCCATGCTGGGCGAGGGCAGCGAGGCAGCCATTGACCCGTCACTGGCCGCCGAGCTGGGCGAGGCAATGCGAGTTGCGCGAGCGAGCGTCTTTGGCGAGGTTTCCAAGTCGCTCTTTGACGAGGATGCACTGCTGTTTGCCACGCTGCTCGTTGTGCGCGACCGCGTGGCGAGCGGCGCCGTCTCGCGCGAGCTCTACGACGCGTTTGTGCACGGGCCGGGGGCAGGCGATGGCGGTGGGCGGCGGTTTGGTGCAAATCCGGCTCCCGAGTGGCTCAACGACGCCGCGTGGGCGGCCGTGTGTGCAACAGCCGGTACTGTACCTGGCCTCGATGGGCTCTCGGCCGAGGTGACGATGCGTCCAAGCGAGTGGCGCAAGTGGCTGGAGGCCAGTGAGCCGTGGCGGACGCCGCTGCCCACGGACAAGTGGCAGCGGCGGGTGCCGACAAAGTCGTTCCTGCGGCTGGTGCTGGTGCGGTGTGTGCGGCCGGACGCGCTGCTCGGCGCACTGCGGCACTACATCTGGTTTGCCCGCGAGGACTACGGGCCCGAGTTTGTGAGCTCGCGGTTGGCAGACGTCGGGTACATGCTTGCGCACGCGTCGCTTCCGCCAGGGGTGGCGTCGTGGTCGTGCGCGCCGGTGGCGATTCTGCACGACGACGGCGTCGATCCTCTCCTGCCGGTGGTTGCCCACGCCGCCGCCGCTGGCGTACCCGAGTCCAAGCTCCTCATTGTCCCGCTTCACTCACACTCGGTATGGCGCGCACCTAGTGAGCCTGAGAGCACGAGTGGAGTGTCCGCCTCGAGTAGTGCCGGAACCGGCACCAGCGGCAGCGGATGGCCTGCCGCCTCGCGCGAGGTGGGCGAGCCTGCGCCGGGCGCCGCGAGTCTACTCGCCTCGGGCATGTCGAATCCTGCGCTGGCCGCGAGGGCGGGTGCAGGCGCAACCGCTGGCGCGGTGTCTGGCCTCAACACCTCGGCGCGGCGCGGGCTGGGGCGGGTGCGAGGGAGCGGTGCCGGAGGCGGGAGCGGGAGCCCAGTGAGTCTAGGAGGTTTGGTCGCCGCGGCGCCGACAGGTTCAACCGGCGCGTCGGAGCTGCAGCGGGCGTCGCTGGAGACGACGATGGCCGGGCGTCTGCTGAGCTCTAAGCTCGACGGCGGGCTCGGATGGGGCCCGCCGGTCAAGTCTGTACTGGACGCCGCCAACTCGTGGGGCCGATGGGTGGTGCTCACCGATGTGGACGAGGCACCGCAAGAGGTGCTCGACGAGCTTGCGCGGTACGTCATGGGGCTCTCACCGGCGGTGACGCACACGGCGTTCCGGCTGTTTGTGCTGGCGAGCCCGGTCATCTCACTCCCGCAGCCGCTTCTCTCGCAATGCGTGACGCTTGTGGCGCAGGCCGCGCCGAGCGTGCGGTCGAGCGTGATGAGCGCGTTCAGCCACAACGGCGAGAAGCTGAGCAAGGCACTCTCTGCCGACCGCCGAACGAGCTGGCGGCGCGCAGCGGTGGGTGTGTTCTTTGTGCATGCGCTTGTTCGTGGGCGATTCCGGTTTGAGCCGCAGGGCTGGTCGTGGCCTGTGGCGCTGCCGAGCTTGGCCACCGAGGTCGAGGTGCTTGGGGTGCTCGAGCGCGAGCTTGCAGCGCGGCCAGTCGGGCGTGACATCGAGCATGTGCTGGCCTTCGTCCGTGGATGGGCCCGCGACGTGGCGTACGGTCCGCTCTTTGGTGCGCCGCTGGACCGCTGGATTGTGGAGGCGCTGCTGCGGTCGGTGCTGCGGCCAGAGATTGCGGACGAGAGCCGCAACTTTGTGCTCCGCGGCGAGTACGTGCTACCCAAGGCGTCTGCCGGACTCCCGTCCGAGTATCTCGAGCATGTCAAGACCCAGTTTAGCAGCGACGATCCGGCGAGCGTGTTCGGCCTCCCGGATTCGGTGACGAGCGAGGCCAACCGGAAGCATGTCCACCACTTGCTTGCCGCACTGGCAAGCCTCGATCTTGTGCACGCAGACTCTGACTCGGTTCCGCCTCCGCGACACACAATCTCGTCGTGGTCGGACGAGGCAACGACGGTCATTGCCACGCTTGCACAGCGGGTGCCGGAGCAGATTCCGGGGAAGCTGGTGGCGGTGCCGGATCACGCGTCGCTGAGCGTGAAGCTTGTGGCGCGGCAGGTGAGTCGGTACAACAAGTTGCTCCAAGTAGTCCATGACTCGCTGGCGGAGCTGAGCGCGGCGCTCGCCGGTCGGGCGGTGCTGAGCCTCGAGCACGAAGTGCTCTGCGAGCAGCTTCTTCGCGGGCTTATTCCGTTTCAGTGGGCGGTTGTCTCTTACGAGCACATGTACGGCCTGCAAAGGTTCCTCGATGATCTTGCGCGGCGTGTGGCGAGCGTGCGGCGGGTGTGCAGCGGCGAGGCTGCCGGCGGCCTACATGCCGGCTCGGTCGATGTCTCGATCCTCTTTGCCCCGCGCGAGCTGTTTGCGGCGGTCCGCGAGGCGGCCGCGGCGGCACTGGAGACGACCTTGGACATGGTCGAGGTGCGTCTCTCGTTTGCGGCCGATGAGGTTCAGGCCGCGACGGCGGCAGGGGGCGGCGGCAGCGCTCGCGCGCGTGCCGGCCTGTGCGTCGATGGTCTCTGGATCCAGGGCGCGCAGTGGTCTCCGGACCGCAGCGTGGTGATGGAGAGCAGCGAGAGTGCCGGATCTGCACCGATGCCACGCGGGGTGCTGAGCGGCGTGGCTGTTCGCAAGCATGAAGATGCCCAAGCCGAGGCTGGAGTGGTGCGGGTGGCTGTCCCTGTGTGGTCGACCGAGTGGCGAGCCGAGACGCCGCTGGTGTGGGTGGAGCTCGACGCGTCGCCGACGCTGCATGTTGATGCTGTGCATGCGGTGGAGGACGAGTGGGCGCTGCGGAGCGTGGCGCTGCTGTGCGAGGCGCCAAACAGGGTGTAGCTAGCTACTAAACGCGTTTATCTACCGCTTGCGATGAGTGGGTGTGCGACCTGGGAGTGGCGGCATGATCGGCGTCAGGCCGTCAAGGCCGGGAGCCGGCTCGGGCATGGCCGACGGTGGGTGGGGCCGGTTGCGGGGATGGGTGCGTCCGCGGGGGGCGCGCGGGCGCGAGCCGCGCGGGCGCGAGCCTGCGGCGTAGGGCGAGCCTGTGGCGTGGGAGACGCCGCGTAGGGGGTGCGAGGACGGCGGCGGCGCCGTGGCCGGGCCAGCTGAGCGCTCGAGGAGGATGGCGAGGGCGGCGTTGATGGACGAGAACTGGGCGTCGACCTTGAGCTCGAGCGACGCAACTTCGCGCTGGAGCGAGTTGAGTGCCGCCGAGTCCTCTTCCATGAGCGCGGACGTGGCAGCGGTGAGGGCGTCGATGCGGTCAGAGACGTCAGTGCGGCTGGCGGCAGCGGCGGAATCAGCGTAGGACTCGTGCGGGAGGCGGAAGGAGACCGAGTGGTCGCGGGGGCGCGAGCTTGTCGAGTTTGCGCGCGGGCGCGGGCTCGAGCATGGCGAGCTGTCGTCGTCGAGGGAAAGGGCGCTGATGGCCGCAGTCGAGGAGGGATCGAGACGACGGAGGAGGTGCTTGCGGCGCTTGTAGCCAGTCTTGTCGGCCGACTTGAAGGAGCGGAAGGACATGGAGCGAAGCATGGCGCCCTGGCGCGCAATCTCGTACTCAAGCCGCGAGATGGCGGCCGACTTTTCGTGCGGGTAGTCCTGCTGGGCCCAGTGGAGGAGCGAGGGCTGGCCGGGCGGCGGCTGGCGATCGGTGCCTGCGGACGATGTCGAGGCGTTGAGCATGGACGCGCCGCGGATGGTGGAGACACGCTCGAGGTTGTTGGCAGCGGTGGCGGTGAGAGTCGCGGTTGTGATCTCTGGCTCCGTCCGTGGCGTTGCCGGGACGCCGATGCCGGGCGCCGAGGCAGAGTGCGACGCGCGCGAGCGGCGCGAGTGCGAGTGCGAGCGGGAGCGGGAGCGCGGACAGGCGCGCTCGCACGAGCTGTTTCCGGAGAGGCCCGATGTGTCTGCGTCACCGGTGTTGTCAGCCGAGCACGAGTCGACAGACTCAGAGTAGGCCTCTGTGGCGTCCACGAGGCGGGGGCCGGACGGCAAGCCTGTGAACGAGAGGCGAAGGGCGCGGGAGTCGGCGGCGAGCTTGGCGTCGGTGGCGCGGACGAGGTCGGCCATGGAGGCGGACTTGGTGGGGGCGAGTGGGGACGAGGTGTTGAGGACAGACGAGGTGCGGGTAGCGGCGAGGCCAGAGGAGGATATGCCGGAGCGGAGGCGGAGGCGCTCGAGCAGATAGTTGACGTCCGCATGGAGGTCGAGGAGCTCGATGAAGATCTCCTCAAAGATGGCGGCGTAGTCGGCCTCGGTCTTGGTGTTCATGGACGAGAGCGAGTGCTTGAGCTTGCGCCATGTGCGGAGGGCAGCGTACATGGTGCGCTCCGCGGTGCGCACGGCGCGACGGGCGCGGAACGAGGGCCGCGCTTTGACGGCGCGACGGGCGCGCGAGTAGGCCCACGCCTTTTGGATGACGACGGCTGCCGACGGCGCAACGAGACGGCGCGAGCGGTCGCGGCGGAGAAAGGTGACGACCTTGGCCTCTTGCAGCGAGAGCGCGAGGCGGCGCTGGACGAGGGCGACGAGGAGGGCGGTGAGAAGGAGGCCGATGAGGGCAGTGACAAAGGCGGAGATGCGGCCGGAGAGCGTGGTGACGACAATGTCGCCGTAGCCGACGGTGACGAGGGTGATGCCGAGAAACCAGATCGAGTCGCCAAACTGGGCGTGCTGCGGATTGTCGATGCGCTCGGCAATGTGGACAATGTACGAAAGAACCGCAACGAGGGTCGAGAGCAAGCCGGCGACGACCGAGTATGGGTGGGCATCGAGGATGGTCTTGAGCACAAAAAGATTGGAGAACTCGACGTCGGAGAGCGCGCCGATAAACTGCGAGCCGCGCCGGAAGAGGAACGAGTGATCGCGAATGTAGCGCGGGATAAGATAGGCGCGGAGAAACATGAGGATGAGGATGGGGAGCGGATGCGGACTTCCGAGTCGCTCCGCTCGCGCATGACGTCGTAGTCGATCCGCTGAACCGCGGGTAGGTCCAGGAACGGGCCGGCGTGGACGGCACAGATTACCATCTCAAACGCGCACGAGACAGCGAGCGGCGAGGTGAAGACCGTTGACGACGCCGGCGTCAGATCCTTCAGCCGCAGCAGACGATGTGCGAGGCTAAAGTACGAGTACACAGTCCAGAGCAGGCCGATCGTGGAGAGCGAGACAAATGCTTTGAGGATGGTGGAGATGAAAGTGGGTTGTCCATCGTGGGCGTGCTCGATCTCGTGCTGTCATGCCGCCCCGTCATGACCGTGACCACAGCCAACCCAGACATCACAGCCAGCCGTCACCACACGGTCCCCGCCCGCCCGTGAGTCCTAACCATCACCCACACCCGCACACACTCTCTCCCTTACTCCATCTCGCCGTCATCCGTCACATACCGAGAGACATGCAAGACCAAGGCCTACAAGGGCAAGGATGACGGTAGCACGCGAGATCTTGCGCTGCTTGCGCTGGATGGCGACCTCGGGCACGCCGGCCTTGCGGGCAAACTCCGCCGTGGTCGGCACAGCTTGACCAGTACCAAACGAAGCCGACATGCGAACCATGTTGACCACCGCCGACGAGCCCTTCTCCCGTCGTCGTGAGGGATGGAAGACAGACGGAAAGCCCACCATGTCCCGTCGGTGACTTCCTCCAAAGTCAGGTTACCCACACCCCCGACCACCCATACACACACTCTCTCTCACTCTCTCTCCCCCTGGCTGCTCACCCGTAGATCAACTGCCATGACCCCCCCCCCTCCCCCCCGACCCTCCCAAGCTCATCCTTCAAAAATTGTCCCCATCACCCCCCACCCCCCACCCCCACCACCCCAACCCCCCCATGA